TAAAGGTTATTGAATACCTGTGTTTAGTTTTACATCCCACCTCCTTACTGAATTCTTTTATGAGTTATCATCGATTCTCTAGAGTTTTCCAGACATACCGTGATATCATCTGCAAATGGAGAGCGTTTTGCTTCTTTCTCAGTTCTGTGGCTCTGTTGATTTCTCTCATCTAATTCCAACAGTTATGCCTCCAATACTACAGGACCGGAGTCAGCAAACGTCTTCTTTCAAGGGCCAGATGGTAAATGTTTTGGGCTTTGCGGGCCATACCATCTCTATCACAGCTACTCGTCTCTGCTGGCATAATGCAAAAGTGGCCACAGACAATAAGTCAATGAATGGGTGTGGCCATGTTCCAGTAAAATTTTATTTACAAAACCAAGCCGCAGACCATATTTGAGGGGGCCATAGTGTACACACCCCTGGAATGGGAGATACCTTGCGTCCTGATCTTACTGGAAGCACCTCGAATGTTTCCCCATTAAGTAAGTTACTGTCTTAGGAATAAGACGCACACACTTTACCATGTTAAGAAAGTATCCACAATTCCTATTTTCTTGAGCCTTTTTATCAGGATGAGTGTTGAATTTTATTGAAAGCTTTTTTGCCATCTATGGAGATAATCATAGATTTTTCTCCTTAGATCTATAAATGTGGTATATCATATTAATGAATTTACTAATATTGAGCCAACTTTGTATTCCTGGAATAAATCCACTTGGTCATGATGTATTCTTTTCTTAATGTGAAATTGGAGTCAGTTTGCCAATATTTGATTTAGCACATTTACATCAATAGTCAAAGGTCTGTAATTTTATTTTTTATTGTACTTTCCTTATCAGAGTTAAGTGTCAGCGTCATACTTCTTAAAAAGAATTAGAAATTTTCCTTCACTTTCTATGTTCTAGGACAATTTATGAGGCGTTGGTGTTATCTGATCTTTAAAGATTTGGTAGAATTTCATTTTAAAACCATCTGGGCCTGATGCATTTTCCTGGGGTAGTTACTTGATAACTTTCTCTATTTCTTCTACAGAAATTGATCTTTTAAGGTTTCTATCTCTAATGGTCAATTCTGGTAAATTATATTTTCCTGGAAAAAATATACTTGATTGAGGTTTTCAAATTTATCTGAATAGAGGTCTTTCTGCCCCTTTTATTTAGTTAGTTCCTCTCTGCCACCTCAGGGAACCACTGTGTGGCATTTATTACTGTAGATTAGTGTGGCCTGTTCTTGGACTTCCTATAGAAAGATGCGTAGGGATGTACTTTTGTGTTTGGCTGCCTCTACTTAACACAGTGATTTTGAGGTGCATCCATGCTTTGCGTGATCAGTAGTGTGTTCCTTTCCGTTGTGCAGTAGTATCCACGTATGACTGTGCTGCAGTGTGCTTCCCCCAGTTGATAGACGTTTGGGTTATTTCCAGGTTTTGACTATTATGAACAAGGCCACTATGAGCATTCTTCTTCAAGTATTTTTTGTGAACACACTCGTTTCACTTGGGTAGATGCTGAGAGTGGGATTTCTGGGTCGTAGGGTGGATGCACGCTCACTTTCATGAGGAACTGCAAATGTTTTCCACAGTGATTACGGCATTTTCCGTTCTTACCAGTCCTGCTCCTCATCCTCACCGATGTTTACTGTTGTCACGTCTTTGTGACTGTAGCCCTCCGGGTGTGTGTGAACTGCTACCTTAATGTGGCTTTAGTTTACATTTCCTGTGACTGTGACGTTGGACACATTTCCATGTGAATCCGTACTCTGCTGTGAAGTGTCTGTTTGAATCTTTTGCGCATTTTTAAAAATTGGGTTGTTCGTACTTTTATTGTTGATTTGTAGAAGTTCTTTATATATTCTGGACAAAGTCCTTTGTCATGTACTGTGAATATTTTTTCTCAATCTGTGGCTTGTCTATTTTTAAATGATGTCTTTTAATAAAGTCCAATTTATCAAGTTTTTTCATTAAGAGTTAGCGTTTTTATAACCTATCCAAATCTGCCTACTGTAAACTCATGAAGATGTTTTCTTCTAGAAACTCTATGATTCTGGGGGTTTTATGTTTAGGTCTAAGAGATCTTTTGAATTGATTTTTTGTATGTGGAATGAGATAGGAGTCAGAGTTTGTTTTTTCCATACAGATAATCAGCTGTCCCAGACACATTTGTTTAAAGACTTTCTTTCCCCACTGGATTGGCCTAGCACCTTCATTGAAAATCAGTTTGTCTGTCCTTACACCAACACAGCGTTGTCTAGATAACGTAGCGTTAGTAAATCATGAAGTCGGTTAGTACAAGACCCACAGTCTTGTTCTTCTTTAATGAGATTGCTTTCGCAAGTCTGGGCCCTTTGCATTTCTATATAAATTTTAGAATCAGCTTGACAATTTCCACAAAAAGAAGAAACCCTACTGGATTATGATTGGGATTACATTATATCTATAGATTAATTTAGGGAGATTGAATCTTTCCATCCAGGAACATTGCATATCTCTTAGTTTATTTAGGTCTTCTCCCCATACTGTTACATAGCTTGCAGTGTGTAGGTCTTGCATATCTTTCATTAGATTTATTCCTAGGTATTTTATGTTTTTTGATCTGGGCCTGGAGTTTTCTTTGTGGGAAGGTTTTGATTACAAATTTAATTTTTTTAGTAGATATTGGGCTATTTAGATTTTCTAGTTGTTCTTATATCACTTTTGCTAGTGTTTTTCAATGAATTTTTCCATTTCACTTAAGTTGTTAAATTGTTGAATATCTTTCTTAATATTCCCTTACTATCCTTTTAATGTCTGTAGGATCTGTAATGATGTATTTTAAATTCCTGGTGTCAGTGATTTGTATTTTTCTTGATCAATCATCCTAGAGATTTATCAATTTTATTATCTTTTCAAAGAACCAAAATTTGACTTTATTGATGATTTTTATTGTTTGCTTTAAACAATTTGCATTGATTTTTCACTCTTATTTTTATATTTTCCTTCCTCTACTTACATTGGATTTAATTGGCTCTTCTTTCTCTAATTTCTTGAGGAGGGATTATACACTTTTTTCCTTTTGAAACAGTCATTTTAAGTACACTGGGACTTGGTGTTGCCTTTTCTGCTTATATGTAATTTGAAGTTTATCAAATTCTGTGTTCTCATTATGATGAGCACCTGGATTTGAGTAGTTTTACTTATTCTTGTCGTCTCCATCATTTTTTAGAAATGTGGGGATTTAGATTTAGGTCACTGCCTATAAATCTTCAATATCAGTAATTTAAATGCTCTTAGAAATTGATATTTATGAACTCTAATAGAAAAATCAGCACATGACATGCATGGGCAGTTTACCAGAGAAGAAATAAAAGTGACCAATGAATGTCTGAAATGTTTTTCAATCGCATTAATAATCAAAGAAGTGAAAATTATAATAATGGTAAAATAATTTATCACTTATCAGTTGGTGAAGATTAAAAAAAAATAAGGTGTCCAGCATGTTTAAGAATTAAGGGAAATGAGTATTATGATATACTATGGATAGCCACAGACTTCATGGAAGTTCACTTAAAGTCTCTAAATGTCTGTGTTTTAAAGATACAAATTGAAACATTTATGAACTCCACTGTCCAGGCACCTCCAGCTTCTGCACTGGCCGAGTAAAGTCATAACTGTTCCTGCCCCATGGAGGTGATGCAGAATTGAAGGAGATATTTCATGTAGGGTGCCCGACACTCATGAGGACCTATACAGTGTGTGCTGCCACTTTCTCTGTCGTGATGAAAAAGAAGATGACGATAGATGAGAGATGAGAGAATGCTCACTGGGGTCATGGGTTAAGTGGCTATGATCCCTCCTGTATCTTCGCTAGTGACGATTCTGAGCAGCCACTGCAGGGTGGGGCCAGAGGGCTTGCCTTTCACATGAAGGAAGACTCTCGGTCAAGCACGACAGGGCTGCTCGTCCTACTTTCTCCACACACAAAATCCCACAATAATTATGGCTACAACTGAGATTTAATAATCATAAAAATATCGTGAAGAAACACACTAATAAATTTAAAATCCAGGTGAAGTGGATGCATTGCTAGAAAATATTTTAAGATGCCCTGGGTTGATCTAAGAAAAACATTTAAAAACTTGAATATATTAACAACCATTAAATAAATTGACATGGTACTAAAATCTACCCCTTTTCACTTACCATCTCCCCACAATATGCCCAAACTGGATGATCTTAGGGGTGAGGGGAGCCAAACTTTCAAGGAACATGTCATCCTCATCTTAAATAAGTGGGTCCAAAAAATGAAAAAAGAGGGCAAAGAGTCAGACTCATTTTTTGATGATTAATTATACTTGACACCAAAATAAGGAGAGAAGCTTATAGGCTGACTTTTCCTTCAATACAGATGACTGTCTCCTCGGTGAAACAAACTGGTTCCAAGAGCATGTAAAAAAATTATGATCAGATAAGGTTTATTGCATATACGAAAAATGATTCATCAGAAAATCCATCAGCGTAATTCACCACACTAATAGACTGAAGAAAACATATGTGATTATTTCAGTAGATATAGAAGTAGCACTTGATGCAGTTCAACATTTTTTCAAGATAAAAACTCTTAGAAAAACCAAAATATAGTTTAGACGAAAGTGCGTGAATGGGGAAGTCCACGCGGGTGAAATAAAAGGTTCCTGTTCTGTTTTGGCGCTGATGGTGACTCATCTCGTCATGATGATGTTTATATTTTCTAAAACATAAATTTCATAAGCATTAGAAAAAGAAGATCCCAGGTCTGAGCCTTGTTAGCCATGACGCAGTTCCCAGGTCACCCGCTAACTTGGGGTCTGTTGTGAAACTGTCATAAATAAATTAAAAGTGGGTGTTTCTGAGGTTATGAATACAGACTGCAAAACGGGAGAAATGGTTGAAAACTCAGGCAAATCAGTGCTTGCACTTTTTCATTTTGGGTGATTTCACGAATGTGTTTAGGAGCCAACTTCATTTTTTTTTGTTTTTCTAGTCCCTCCATGGCTTTGCTCTGGTCGTGAGTGCAGAAGGCATGATATTTTATGCATCAGCGACCATCGTGGACTATTTGGGCTTCCACCAGGTAAACACAGCTTCTCAATCTGCTGCACGTTAGTTAGGCTCTGTCACCTTGTAAACTCGTATTGTCTTCAAGGTTTACAATGTCTCTAAAATCAAGCTTTTCTTATCACCGAGCTTTTATCAGATAAGGATTTCCTCACCCCAGCTGTGTCTGGGGCTCAGGGTCACAGAGAAAGGCATGACAGTGCCCAGGCCGTCCTGAGAACAAGGGCAGTGACTGTGCCGACTGCGGCACAGCCCCACGCTCCTCATGTGGTGAGTGGCCAGTCAGCACCAGGGAGTGGACCTCTCCCTGCCAGCGGCGTAGATTCTTAAACCCCAGACATGTGGTACATTCAGGACATAGTATGTTCTGGAAATGCCCTCATTCATGCATAGATAATTCCCTGGGAGCATTACCCCAGGCCAGCCCCAGTGGGTGGTTCCAGACTGTGGGGCGGGGAGCTGGGGTTGAGGCCCATCACATCCTGGGGTCCTAGAAGGGCGGCTCCTCCAGCAGAAAGTGCAGTGAAAGTCCTACCCATGGCCCAGGAGAGGAGACGGAACTTCTCTGCCCAGCTCTGAGAAGGAAGAGTCACTCTTGAGACACCCAGAGCTTGAGCCTGAAGCCCACGTCCAAGTTTACCCTCCTGCAGAGTGCAGCCTCCTGACCTGGAACTTGAACTGCGTGTGGATGGATGAGATTGCACAAACGTGACCCTCAGCTACACCACCACAAGCCACCCCCTAGAAATATCCTCTCTGAAGAGTCACTCCCAATACAGATTTACAGATGCACAAGGAAGCCACAGACCCTGACAGAGTGCACTCTCCCTTAAAAATTCAAGATAGCCAGCAGGTGGATTTGAGCAAGAACAAAATGGAACTTTGAAAAATGAAGAAAACAGAGCGTCAGTCAGGGTCCCATCTGGAGGCAGAAACCGTGCAGTGATTTGAACAGTTTAATATAAAGAATTAATGTAAGGGGCTGGCCCCATGGCCGAGGGGTTAAGGTTCCACGTGCTCTGCTACAGTGGCCTGGGTTTGTGGGTTTGGATCTCCAGCACAGACCTACTCCACTCATCAGCCGTGCCATGGAGGCATCCCACATAGAAAGTAGAGGTTAGCTCAGGGTTAATCTTCCTCACCCCCGAAAAAAAAAGAATTACTGTAAGTTTAGTATAAAGAATTATTAACTGTTAACTCAGGATCAACAATATGGGAGTGCAGACATAGACACAGACATAGCGGGTGGAGGGCAGCAGTGCCTGCAGGGCTGAGGCCCGGCGCCCACAAGGAGCACATTTTGGAGACCCCCCCACATTCTCGAGGGTGAGGCCGTGGCCTCTGGGTGGTGGAGAAGTCTGGAAACCGGCCGGCATGAAACCGCCCCATGGGATGCTGGCGTGACTTGGGGAGGCTGCTGGGAACTGCCTGCTGGTGCGTCTGACACTCGAGGGGACGAACCTGCCCCCTGCAGTGCCCCAATACCTTTGCCAACAGAGGGGAACCGTTTGCAGGATTTGGGATCAGAGCCAAGTGATGAAGTGGGGTTTAGAGCTGAGAGGCAGCACATGGCGTTTGTAACGAGAATCTGACTGGACGGACAGAAAACTAAGGGTGCCTAGAAGCGAAGGGTGGTGGAAGCCAAGGTTGGAGAACGTGGATCCTGACACACTGTGGAAATTCAAGTCTGCCTGAGGCCCCTGGGGCTGGTGGGGCCTTTGATCTAATTTCCGTGAAAACCGTCATTTTGAATCGTTTCCAAAACTGAAGTCACGGTCCCTCTACCGGTGATTCTGAGAAGCAATTCCTCTGATACCCACCTCTGAGTTTACGTTCCTAGCGCCTGAACCCGGGGACAGAATAACGGCCACACTCTGTCCTGACCTGTCTTCTTTCCTGTCGCTGGCCCGGGACAGTCCTTTGGCCCTCCACCTAGCTGCAGCCAATCACCTGGCCTGAGTAGCCCCTGCAGCCGTGGAGGTGTGGCCCCGGTGGAGGACCCTGGACCAGGCCAGCTGTAGAGGGCGTGATCTCCTCGGGGCGCTCCAGGGGCTTCCGAGTCAGACCACGCGGGTGGAGCCTCGGCTCTGCGTCTTAGCAGTTAGGTGACCACTCTGAGCCTCATTTTCCTCCTCTATGTGATGCGGTAGCAGCAGTGTCCACCTCTGAGGCTGCTGCTGGGGCTTCATGGGTCCTCAAACGTGCAGAGCACTGGGAAGGGCATTGCACCTGTGACACTCGGGAGAGGCGTCCCCACCACCAGCCCTGCTGCAGGGGCCGCCCGAGGCATTTCTACCCTTGGCTGCTCCTGACAGTGTGTGAGGCCGGGAACTCCACCAACCACGTCTGTCTCCTGAAGAGGCCCGTCTTGAGGAGATCTGAAGTTATGGGAATGTGTTGTTGTCCCTAAGGCCCTACGAGCACCCGGGGTGGCCGGCCCTGATGCACTTTCCCTCCACTTCCGCCTCTCGCATGTACATCTCGCTCTCCGGTGCTGCGTTCACACAGTGGTGGTTAGTGAAGAGGAGACTGGTGGGCGCGGCCAGGGTTAAGGGCTCTCTTGCTGTGGGGTCTGCTCTACAGCGCAGAGCTCAGAGGACAGTGCCAGAATGTGGTCACCACTGGACTCCAGCCCCTGAGTGGTGAAGCCTTTGACTTTCTTTGTGCATGCAGAGTCTGAATCTAGAGAGACGTGCTTTGGTCTGTTTTCACGTGAGCAGAATGTGTTTGAGTTCCAGTCACTGTGTCCTGAGTTGCCCCGTGAATTCTCCAGACACACCCGGAGCCGTCTGCCGTAATTTGAAGGTCTTACCACAGGGCTTGGCTTTGGTGGTAAGTGCAGGTGCCCTGCAGAGCAGCTTTAATTCCAGGTCTGAACTTGCTAATTAAATCTTTTGCTGTCTTGGAGTTTGGTTATTTCCCCCCAACCGTTAGAAGTAAAAAAAAGTTTTGCCTTTTATTAAAAGGAAATTGTTTCCAAATGCCATTAAATCAGGCATTGCCTCTGATTTATGCAAAATATTTCATGAAATATTAGAACAACTTTGTGCTGTTGTGAGCTTCTTGTGCAAAATACTTCGCAGAAAGTCAGGAGCCAGTTATTTCCTGTCACAACCTGAGTACACTGTTTCAGCATCTGTAAGTTCAGTGCTCCTTGTGATGAGTCAATGGGCTGTGGATATATATTTTAGTTGTCATTGACATCTGTCGATTCAAGAAGTCACCCATTCTCTCAAAGGGCAGCCTTTGGGGGGAGTCGTCCTTGTGTGAGCCGGGCAGCCGTTAGGGCAGTTGGGAATCCCACGGAGGGACACAGATGTACGCTCTGCACTGTGACGACAGTAGCTGCTGGAATGAGCAGCTTGTTAAACTTGGTAATGCTTCTGTTCTTAACTCCATAAACGAGGGTATAGAGCTGAAATAAAGATTGGCTTTACTTGATGAAAGGCGTGTTTGTTTTCAGACTATTTAAGTAATTGTTCTATTATTCTTCCTCTCCTTCTCGAATTTTTCCCACTGTTTATTTCTCTTGACCTCACTTGTAGGAATTAGACTCTAGGAGATTAAGAAAGACTAAGTACAGTCAGACAGGCCACACTAATTATTACAATCCTGAACTTTGTTTCCTCAACCTAAAAAATATTCACATTTAGTATATCTTCAAATTTGCCTTAGTCAGAGATGCCCTCCTCCAGGTTCATCTGTCTCCTGTTCTGGTTAAGCCGCAGGTGCACACCATGCACATTAACTCCACAGGTCCCTTTCGTTAATTAACTAAGGTGTGTAGAGACGATGAATGGGGCAGCCAGGGAGACCCGTTGGCGGATCACCACCTTCCGGGGTTCTGCAAGGCTTGGGTCACCTACTAACACTCACGAGAAAATAATGTGAATCACGGTGCCTGTTCATTAATTTATTGTCAGAACTATGACTGCCCTGTGCTCAGAGGTCAGCACAATCTTTTCCTTTAATCAAAACCTTCGAGGGAAGAATGCCATCTACAACAGGGTGGAAAATCACCAGATTCTCAGTAATGAGTGAAACCAATGATATGCCGGACCTCCACACAGAAAATATGAAATGTTATTCAAAGAAATTAAAGAAGATCCGGATAAATGGAAGGATATGCCATATTCATGAATTGGAGGACTCAGTATTAATATTACAAAGATGTCAGATCAAGTTACAGAATTAATGACATTAGAATTAATGATGTAGAATTTACAGAATTAATGACGTTACCATGAAAACTGAGCAGCTTTTCTGGGTGGAAATTGACAAGTGAGTTGAGGATGCAGAACAAGCCCGTCTGGGGGAGCCGGGGAGCAGGAGCCATGATTACTGGGGACTTACCATCCCGGAGACAAGGCTTCCTATGAAACTAGTAGTTACGACATTGTGGGGTCAGTGCAAGGGTGGACTGTAGACCCAGGAGACAACTGGTATTCAGGGTAGACATCACGCATGGATGCGGGGTGTGTAGTCAAGCTGGCACTGCCAGGCTGGGGGCAATGGGGGTCTTTTAAGAAATGGCACTGGGGGACTGGCCTGGGGGTGTAGTGGTTAAGTTCACATGCCCCACTTTGGTGGCCTGGGGTTCACAGGTTCGGATCCCGGGTGCGGACCTACATACCGCTTATCAAGCCATGCTGTGGCAGCGTCCCACATACAAAATAAAGGAAGATGGGCACAGATGTTAGCTCAGGGACAATCTTCCCCAAGCAAAAAGAGGAGGACTGGCAACAGATGTTAGCTCAGGGTGAATCTTCCTCACCAAAAAAAAAAAGAAAAGAAATGGTGCTGGGTGGACTGGATCCACATGGGAGAAAATGAATCTTGACTCTTCCCTCACACCATGCACAGTAAATATCAGGTGGACGGTAGAAGTTTCTAGAAGATAACAGGGCAGAGTTGGGAGATCTATGAGAAAAGATTTCTTAGGACAAAAACCCCGTCCACATGGAAAGATTGATAAATTGGACTGTGTTAGATCCACTAAGAGAGTGGAGAGGCAGGCCAGGGAGCAGAGAAGATGTTTGCAACGGATATACCCAATAAAGCACTCATCCAGAACAGAGAAGAACACTGACAGATGGGCTCAATGGAAATTTGTGAAAAAGACACAGGCCACATGCGCACACACACATGACATGTACGTGCACACACACTCGCATTTAAAAACCCATAAATATGTGAGAAGATGGTCGATTTTATTAGTCATCATGATGTGCAAATTAAAACCTCAATAAGAAACCACGACACATCCCCACAGTGGCTCAATTGAAAAAGGCTGAAAATACCAAATGTTGGCCAGAATGTGAAGCAACTGGAAATTTTGTATGCAGCCACAACAGGGGTGTGTATTCGCACACTAACTTTGGAAAACTGTTTGAGTTATCTGCTAAAGCTGAACGTCTGCCACCCCATGACTCAGAAATTCCACTCCTGGATGTGTACACACAGAAATGCACTCAGAGACGCGACAGCAGCCTTTGTAACGGGCTCAGATAGGAAACTCATGGCCATTAGCAGTAGAGTGGACTGATCTGTCGTGGTACCATCAACGGAGTGAAAAACTGCCGTCACACACACAACATGTCACCATTGTGATGCTGAGCAAAGGAGACAGACACCAGCGAACACAGCACTGCATTTACGTACAGAACCAGCCTGTGATGGGAGGCTGTGCTGCGACCGCCTCTGGGGAGGATGGAGAGAAGGGGCTCTGAGATACTGTGGTGTCCTGTTCCTGACTGGGTGGTGTTTACACGGGGAACTCATCGGGCTGGCTGTTTAGGACTCGGGCCCTTTTCAGTCTACACATTATGCCCGAATCACCAAAGTTTATTTGGTGAAAGCATCACTATGGGACATGTGCTGTGATCATAGAGCCACCAGGTAAGATGGGAACTGCCAGGTGAGGCAGGAGCTGCCAGGTGAGGTGAGAACCACCCGGTGAGGTGCGGGCCACCAGGTGAGATGAGAACCACCAGGTGGGGTGGGGGCCGCCAGGTGAGATGAGAACCACCAGGTGAAGTGGGGCTCCCAGGTGAGATGAGAACCACCAGGTGAGGCAGGAGCTGCCAGGTGAGATGAGAACCACCAGGTGAGGTGGGGGCCGCCAG